ACGCAACGCCCCAAAGAAGGCCACCGCAAAAGCCGCCCTAAACAAGCCCACTTCAAAGTCCGAAGAACAAACAAACCGCAAATGTGTAAATAAAGATCCTAACAACTCGAAGGACACCGGGCGACGAGAATCCCTACTGCGATGAGCCCTACGGTAACCCGAATAGCCTGACGCACCCCCAGAAATCTTTGGTAAAATCCCGACACCCTTGTAACTTAAAAAAAGAAGGCCAAACCAGCCAACCGCCGATCCACCGCCGCAGCAGACACCCCCCGCTCCAAATTCCTCGCCAAATAGTACAGCAATGCCACACGCACCTCCGGCCCCCAGGGATCAATATCGACCTGTTGTAACAGGTCCAGCCACTCCCGCCAAACCGACGAGTACGCAGACCATGTCGCCTCACTCACCGACCGCCGGATCCAGCCGGATACGACCCCAAGGCAATCTCCCACAGCCAGTCGGGACAGGAACCCCACGGTGCTCCGCAGCCGGCGCCAACTCCCGGAATTTGTCCCACTGAAAACGAGACAAAGCGTCAGCCAAAGTGTTGTCCACCCCAGGGAGATGCACCGCATGGATAAAAACATTCAGCTGCAGGCAACGCAACACTAAATGGCGAAGCAGGCCAACCACCGGCCGCGAGGCAGCCGACACCCGGTTGATGACCTGAACCACCCCCAAATTGTCGCAATGAAAACGAACCTTCCGATTCCGAAAATCTGCACCCCCCAAACCTCAACCGCCAAGACCCACCGGAAAAAGTTCCAACAGAACCAGGTTTACGAAGGAAACCCGCCGCCACCCAGGAAGGAGGCCACGGAGCCGCACTCCACCGTCCTGAAAAAAAGGCCCCATAACCCCCGGAAGCCGCCGCATCCGTGAACAAGTCAAAAATTGCTGACCGGGCCAGACATCCACAAAGCCCATCCGTTAAACGAAGTCAAAAAAGTGTGCCAAATCCGCAAATCCTCCCGATGCTCCTAGTCAAACGAATAAAATGTAAAGGGGAAGTAATCCCTGCCGTCGCCCGCCGCCAACCGGCGGCAAAACACCCGACCCATTGGCAGGATGCGACAAGCGAAGTTCAGTTTACCCAACAACGACTGTAAGGCCCGCAGTTGAATTTTTCGCTTGCCGAGCACCCCACCAATTTCCCCTTGCAGGGCCAAAAGCTTGTCCTCAGGCAGCCGGCACTCCATTGCATCAGAGTCCAAAACGATACCCAGGAAAGTAATGACCGAAGCCGGGCCCTCTGTCTTGTCCAAAGCCAGCGGAATCCCAAAACGTTCAGCAACGTGCTGCAAAGTGGCCAGCAAAAACGGCGCACACTCTGGAAGCTGGCGGACCCACGCAAAGAAAATCATCCAAATAGTGGATGACAGAATTGACCCCCCACAGAAACATCCCGCACCACCCACTCCACGAACGAACTGAACTGCTCAAACAAAGCGCAAGATATGGAGCACCCCATGGGAAGGCACCTATCAACGTAAAACGAGCCCTCCCAATGACAACCCAAGAAACGAAAACTGTCCGGATGTACCGGCAACAATCGAAACGCGGACTCAACATCCGATTTCGCCATAAGCGAACCACGCCCATAACGACGAACCCAGAAAACCGCTGCGTCAAACGACGTGTAAGACACTGAACAGGACTGCGGATCTATAGCGTCATTCACCGACCCCCCTTTAGGAAAAGACAGGTGATGAATTAACCGAAACGAATTTGGCTCCTTCTTGGGCACCACCCCCAAGGGGGAAACCACCAGATCCGAAAACGGGGCGCAAGAAAATGGGCCGCCCATACGACCTAACCCCACTTCTTTTCGCAACTTAACCGAAACAACCTCCGCATGCCGCAAGGCCGACCGCAAGTTCCGAGCCAAGGGGGGGAACGGAAGTCAAAGTGCACGGGATGTGGAAACCCTCCGAAAAACCTGCCGCCAGCAGCACAGCGGCTGCCCGATCAGGATATCTATCTAGGAAAGGCTGCATCCTTTCCACCCTCACCGGTGTCGTCCCTCTTACCCGCATGCTCGCCGGAAGGGCCTCTGCCCCGCTTGAAACAGCGCGACAACGGATGGGAGCCGCCGCAACCGGAACACTCATGCTTTTTTATAAAACGGCAGGACCCTCCGAAACGACAAGCGCTTTCCTGGAACTGCCAACAGAAGCCCCTACGCTTTGAGGCCGATTGTCCGGGGGAGAATGAACCACCGGCCCCCCCCTGAAAAAAAAACGGACCAGGAGGCCTCGCTGGAGTCATGAGGCGCATCCAAAGACCAATGTCCTTTTATGGTCCCAACGCAATGAAGGGCGAACAGCCCGCCGCTGCCGAAACTGCTCATCATACCGAAGCCACGCAGTCCCACCGTAAACCCTGTGAGCCTCGCTAATGGCGTCAATGGTAACAAAAAAGCGCCGAGCAATGCTCAGGAGCCTTCTCCCCAATAACACTGGCCATGATCGCAAACGCCTGCATCCAATTTGCAAAAGTACGCGGGATAAAGCGGAAAACGCCGCTTCTCCGCTTCCTCCCGCCTGCCCTCGTCAACCCGCAACCCCTCCAAAGGAAAACGCTCCAACGGCAAGAGCGTGTGAAGATCTCCACATACTCCCCGCTCCAAATCCGCTCCCGAACCCAACGGCAAGTGCGCACCTAAAGGGCCCTCGAAGCACACGTATACCTCGCACTTGGCCAAGTCCGCCAAGCCGACCGCTCCGGACACCCCCCGCACCCCCATCCAAAGCCGTGGAACCCAAAGCATCAGATTCCGCCGCAACCACCGCAGGCCCAGAACCAGAGGGAGGAGAAAACCCCCCGATCTCCGCACGGCCCCCCCGTCCTGCACTCGGACTTGTAAACCGTCCCCACCAGCCGGCGGGAGCCACGCCGCAGCAGGCCCAGGGACCCCACTATCGCCCCGCTCAAGGCGCTGCAACAAGGTACGCAAACCTGAAATCAAATCGCAGAGCCCCCCCCCAGCGACCCGAATCGGGAACGCCGACCTCCCGCACCGCCGAGGCCCCGCCCCCCAACAGGTCCCCTAGCGCAGAAGAAAAAGAAAAAGGTAACTCACCAGGCTGCCCAGGAGACGTCCCATCAGCCGTGCGACCCACGTCCAGCGATGCCGAGCGGCCAGCTGTCGCCCCCCGCATCGGGTTCCGACAGCTCGCCCTCCGATCTCACGTCCTCCCCTCGACGGCCGGATGGCCTCCTCAGTCCCAGGAGCCACGGATCCTCGAGCGCTGTGCCTCTGCTGGCTCCGCCTCCCGGCACCAGCCACGCCCATCGACGTCCCTGGGGTCCGACCAGACACGCCCCGGCAGCACTTCCATCCAGCCTGAGGCTCTTCGGAGCCGCCGCTCCACGCTTCCCATGGGGCCTGCCGGCCGCAGCAGGGGACAGCCCGGCAGCCGCAGCGCTGCGTCTCCCTCGTTGGGCTCCCTCCCTGACAGGCACCTGGTCAGTGGAGGAGCCGGCGACATCCTGCTTCCTCAGCCGCGCGGGCGGGGGGGAGGGGCTTCCTCCCCGCGAGACCCCGCCCGCCGAGCTCCGCCGTTGCCGGGGATTCCTCCCGGCCTCCCCGCGAGCAGAGGCATTGGAGCGCCCTGCCAGCGGGGCCGGAGGGTCCCGAACGGGGCTCCCTGTGTGGCGCTGAACTCTGGGGGAGGGGGAGCCCGGACTAAAGCGCTCCGGAGGCCGAGACCTCCGAGCACGTGGGCGCACCCGCCCCCCTCCCGCTGGTGATGAGGCCGGGTCCTGTGAAAGACCCGGGTCCTGGGACAAACCCGGGTCCTGCATGAAGGCAGGCACCCGGCGCTGAGCTCTGGGGGAGGGGGAGCCCGGACTACAGCGCTCCGGAGGCCGAGACCCCGAGCACGTGGGCGCACCCGCCCCTCTCCCTCTGGTGATGAGCCCGGGCCCAGCGATAAGCCCGGGTCCAGGGACACGCCCGGGTCCTGCAGGAAAGCAGAGACCCGGCTCTGCAGCCAGTCCATCCCATGAGAGGCTGCCGCCTCACGCAGCTGGGCCACCAAGCCATCCATGACAGCCCCCCAAAGACCGCAACGAGACCCCAGGGAAAAAGGCCCTAACAATATGCTGGCGTTGGGAGGGAATGAATCTCACTCACCAACGTCCAGGTCCGAAATGATGCCTCCCCCCCCTGGGACACCCCACCCTAAGGTGCGGCAGAGCCCACCCACGCTCTCCTCTCCACCAACCAGCACACCCATCTATCCCTTTTCCACACCCCCCTGGCACATCATTAACCCTTTCTTACTCTCCTTCCCACTCTAGGCCTAGTCATGCCTGCCCTGCGCTAATTTTCCTTTCCTTTTTTCGCTACGGGCATTACTTTTATTTCACAAAAAAGTCACTATGCACATTGGTAAATGTATGTTTTATTGTAAGAAATGATGTATTTGATTTGTTATTTGGTACATGCTTTTGCAAATTTTTGGATACATTTAATCATATAAGACAGCGCTACATTCCGACAACATTACATTCTGGTACCTATATGGAATTCATATGTCAGCTGCAGTCTAAATGCATTTTTATATGAGCTAGAAAATAATTGCACTGAAGTTCTTAGATTCAAATAGCTCTGCAAAGTCCACATTATTAGGGCTGATTTGAGAGCTCTCATCAATAATACAACCATCAGTCCTTCCCCTCATGCCAGGGTACTAGGTGTAATCCTAGACTCCCATCTGTCCTTTCAGCCCCAAATCCAATCACTGTCCAAATCATGTAGACTTCATCTCCGCAACATCTCCAAGATACGCCCGTTCCTAACCTCGGAAACCACTAAGCAACTCATTCACTCCCTGGTTATCTCTCTCCTTCACTATTGTAACTCCCTCCTCATTGGCTGACCTCATCGCAGGCTATCCCCTCTTCAGTCTATCATGAATGCTGCTGCCAGACTCATCCACCTTACTAACCGTTCCACACCTTCCATCTCTCTCTGCCAATCCCTCCACTGACCTCCACTCAGTGTCCTCCACCCCTCTCTGCCAATCCCTCCACTGACCTCCACTCAGTGTCCTCCACCCCTCTCTGCCAATCCCTCCACTGACCTCCACTCAGTGTCCTCCACTCCTCTCTGCCAATCCCTCCACTGGCCTCCACTCAGTGTCCCCCATCCCTCTCTGCCAATCCCTCCACTGGCCTCCACTCAGTGTCCCCCATCCCTCTCTGCCAATCCCTCCACTGGCCTCCACTCAGTGTCCTCCACCCCTCTCTGCCAATCCCTCCACTGGCCTCCACCCCTCTCTGCCAATCCCTCCACTCAGTGTCCCCCATCCCTCTCTGCCAATCCCTCCATTGGCCTGCACGCAGTGTCCTCCACCCTCTCTGCCAATCCCTCCACTGGCTTCCCATTGCCCAACGGATAAAATTCAAAACACTAACAATAACATATAAAGCCATTTATAACTCTGCCCCAAATTACATCACCGATCCTGTCTCTAAATATCACCCAAACCGTACTCTCCGCTCCTCGCAAGACCTCCTACTCTCTAGCTCCCTTGTCTCCTCCTCCCATGCTCGTCTCCAGGACTTTTCCAGAGCTTCCCCATCCTCTGGAATTCATTACCCCAATTTATCAGACTATCACCTACTCTGCTCACTTTTAGGCGATCTCTGAGAACCTATCTCTTCAGGGAAGACTATCCTGCCCTCAGCTAATAATGGAATCTTCTACTCCTCCTACCAGTCCATCCCCCACAGTTACTATCTTTTGTACCACTAGCCCCTCTTCCTTAGATTTTAAGCTTCAAGGATCAGGCCCTCCTATCCCTCTTGTATTGAACTGCATTGTTGCTGTATTGTCTCCCGTTATATTGTAAAGCGCTGAGCAAACTGTTGGCGCTATATAAATCCTGTATACTAATAATAATAATAATAATCTATGGGTTTCCTACTTATGAGAAGCAGCAGTGGGGGTTTTTAGAGCATCATAGCAAGTGTATTTAAAACAGAAAAGGGCAAGAACTCCAAAAATGTGTTCTTAGCTTGGCCAGGAGAACTCCACCCAATGAACCATCAAATCTGCATGAGTTATTAGACATTTTTACAAGTTCAATTACTAAACTCAAAAAACAAATTCTGTTACTTGATGCAAATTCACTTGCATCGTGAGCAGCCTATTTGGTTTTAGTACATCAACCCCAATGTCTCTGCTTTTAACCTCCCTAGCGGTCTGATTATGTCAGTATTTCTGTGCTCAAAGCGGTAAAATTTTTTTGCATGGAAATATGTATTTTTTTTATTGTAGGCTGTATTTTTAGGAGTAACTCACTGAAATCTGTCCGAACAAGAGTCTAGTAAACATCCCCGGGGGATGATAAAACTTGAAA